AGTCTGTAACAATTTTAGCGTTCGTTATTATTTGACGTACCTGTTACATGCGTTCGGAAATAGAACAAAGTATGTTGATCCTTCTTAAACGTCAAAACTGTGCTTTTCTTCCCGAGGTCAAAATCTTGAGATTAAGAATCCTGTCACTTGTCATTCTCATGGTTTATTGTTTGTTTATTTTATTTGGTTATCAAAAACTCCTCAAAATTTTCAGAACACATATTTATCAAGATAAATGCTACCTAGTATCCCTAGGGTACCTTATAATACCTACACTGGTAGCAGAAAGCGTGGTTAGAAATTAGTCGGCTATCATCAAGTGTCATTACATGACGTAATAATTTAGACGTTCTAAAAATAAAGTTTCATAGTACTCCAGAGTAAAACTTCATCTGTCAATCCAGATTCCATTACTATCTGCATTCTATTACTATTCACTATGTATTAATTACATTACCAAGTGATTTATAAACGCACCCCTGGTGTAAAGAGGAGAATTTAGAGTAAAATACTCGACTGAAAATAATTTTTCCTCTATAACGAAACATGTTCCATTGATACACGTACAATGAATGCTTCCTTCTCAATTAATTCTAAAGCATAAAAGGTAAAAGCGATCAATGATTAGTAGGAAGCGAGTACGGCGAGTACTGATAATGTATGCATACGTGACAAACAATGACATAAGCAGGAGACATAAAATACGGTACTTATTTTGGGAATGAACGTATTATGAAATCCAAACACGTTGTCGCGGTGCGGATGATGTCAAGCAACAGGTTTCAAGGCAAACCCCTGCTAGCTTGCAGTCGCTCTGTCGCTATAGCGCGCTTCTCGCAATGTTACTGTACATATACAGGGTAACTTTAATGAATAGATGAAAACAAATGAGGCGGAAATCTGATGATAATCGTCCATGGTGTATAGGCCACGTTTTGGAGCTTTGTGCGCCGCAATCTGAAATACTCTAGCGCCATCTACGATACATTTGCCGAACGCAATGATGCATTAGAAATCTTCTTTGGAACGAGTTAGAGTAGTTGGTTCTGCTACTATAGTGCTGGGACTCTAAATCTCTTTTTACCCTCTCTAATGCTCATTTTAGTTGCGTATCTTCAAATGTTAATCAATCCATGAAGATAAACAATTAAAAAAGACAATGAGGAGGAGCCAAAAGGGGTTGCAGATCCTAGCGCCATCTATGAAAAACAAACACTACAACTTTCTTCAAAGTAGATTTGTGTAGAACGATAAAGGTGAAAACAAGCTCGCCTTAGAAGATCTCGAAGAACCATCTGTAACATTCAACCTTATTACAAGTGTAATACGTAAACAATTTGATATAGGCAATAATGACAAGATAATAAAAAAGTCAGTTACTTGGTGCCGAAACCACATTGAGTTGAATCCTCCCTTGGCAATCAATAGGCGCGATAGAATCAGATAGCACGGGCCAACACCTATTTGAGGAAAAAGGCTGCACAAATAGGTGTAGGAATGCACAGCTGCGCTACTTTGGGGTTACATTAGTTATCTGCAGTGACACCAGTTCCTCAAATAGGTCATCTATTCGTGATCTATGAGATACTCGTCCGCAGGGCGTAAGGACAGGGAAATTTTTCAAACAGCAGCCAGGCTCTCAAACATATGATTTAGGCACACGTCAGCCCAGGTGTATGGACAAATATACTTAACGAATGTTACGAAAAGACCAGAACCCAGAATGTCACGTTCTCGTGTAAATGCACAGAAGCTGCCACGTAACCGATGCTCTAGAGTTAGCTGAGCAGTACTTCAAACTAACAACCTCTACACGCATCTCTTCATGAGAGCGATTGCCAAGAAGTTGAGCGGTGTCACAGACCTGAAATGTCACGTTGGTCAAGAGTCATCGTGTCAACATCCAAAACGCTCCGCCATCACGAAACATAGCAGTAACTAACATAACTATCTGAACCCGGAAATTCGGCTCTAAAAGTCTCACTACAACTCCCATAAACCGAAGGCGCCACACCTGTTATGAGCCAGTTAATCCTTATTAGCAAATATAGAGCCCGTAAACCATTTATATACATATATATGATTGAACCATCTCTATAAACATAGGTTAAGTCACTCATGATCATCAATGTAAGAGTACTATGGTTAGAAATCCATACTGAATAGCAGAACAAATGAAATACTCAGTGATTGTTCACCTTTCAGGTAACTGAAACACTACAAACATTAGCGCAGGAAATGTAATTAGGTTCACACCGCGCACTACTTGATCTTAACAGCGACCGCAAGACCTATTCGAGAGCAAATGACGCTGTTAGAAATTTACCCTGGGAGCAAGTTCCCAGAGCAATGGAATGTATAACAAGAACAAAGTCTAAGGGCGGTTGCGTTGAGTGACATCAATCTGACTTGCGAGTTTTCTTGAAGGAATTTCTTTTTTGTGCTCGCATAAAAAAATCCGTTTGAAGTATTCTGTATGCTTATGGTACATATCTAAATTCATTTTTCGGTTCCGCAACTCATAGTATATGTTTGGAAATATTCCGATAGTTAGATACGTTAGTCAATGGTCCTGCTCATCTATGCCTTCTAATTCCAGCACTGCTGGCCCCAAGATAGTTTGACTATTGCTCCCTAAGACCTCATAGTGAGCTAAAATATTAAAATATGGACATAGAACTCCTCATTGTCCATATCACCCACAGCGTGGATCGGCAACAAATCTCATGATGTCACTTCAGTCCGAGCTTCCGTGTTGTGACCAGTTAAAATTCCAACCAACAACCGTAGAATGTTCTCCTACTCTCCAACCATGTCTTTATTTTTGAATCTCTCTGTATAACATCAGCTTTTGGATTGTATATGAGGACCTCCTCCTCTTCCTCCACGCCTCACTTTCTGGTACTACCATTTGGTAGATACATATATGGATACTGTGGCAGTAGCAGAAGATGGAAATAACTTTTATGACACATTTTTGAAGCATCAGTGGCATTTTTTAAAATGTTTTGATCTTCACACATGTATGATGACACCAGAATATGGCTTCAGCAAAAAAAATGGTTTGAGTATTTAAGATATGCTTCTAAAAATTAACATCTATTTTTGAAAACCCAATGCCGTTCATGCTATACAGAGTGATTGGAAAATAGTGGAAATGCTTCTAGGTCAATATGGATATTGAAAAATAACACGAAAAGCTGATGAGGGCCTCGGTAACCGAGTGGTTAGCGCGTCGAGCTAGCAGTTGGTCAACCCAAGGCACGCCGGTTCGAATTTTCGCCTCGGAAGTTAATTCCGAGCTAGGGATGTTGTATGGTGTGTTGCCTATATCACGCACCAGGGACGTGAAAGACAAAGGATGTTATATCGTACGTCACAAAATTTTTAGAAAGATCTATTGCATTGTATGAATTAAATATTCAATATTAGTTAATTCCACTCCCTCTTTTTTCCTTGAGAGTTTTTCCTAGACCATTCCTTTTAGAAAAATATTTATTTGAATATATGAGGTAAGATCCAAATAACAAGCTTCAACGTGTTCTACTTTAAAAAAATACTGTAGCTAGTGAAGTTGCATGTAGTTTATCAGGAGAACAGTATTAATTATCCCACTTTTTGGGCAATATGTATGTGTTGTTCTGATTCAGTATCACCCACGTCGTAGAAATTTACCTGTATTTTGGTGAATGGGTAATTTTAGGACCTGCGCTTATAATATTTATTTAGTTTAAGATGTACTTCCTGCTCTAGAGAGGTATTGCATTGTTTTTTGATTCAGCAGTGCAAAATTGACTCACCCTCTATAATGCATGCGCTAATGAAATAGTGTAAAGTTTATATTAGCAATATTGTAACATTAAATGACAATAAATTAATATATACGGCAATACGGCTGTGTGTAGTGCCAATATTAACGTTGAACTTTACCTCCGATAAATCAACTTGAAGTGGATATATGGTAGATGTTGAAGATTTATGCTGATTGGGATGAAATCATTTTTATTTTGTATGTCCGCTGAGTTAATTGGTTAAATTCGATATACATATAAACCGTGGTCGTATTAGAGGATGCATGGATGAGAGTTACTTGGTATGACCGAAGTCATCCATGTCTTTTGATTAATTCTTGCTTAATTCAAAATACGAAATGTAGCCTAAAAGAGTTTACCGAGTATAGTGTATTCAAATATTATTTAAGCTGCGTCTAGATATGCAGGTGCGCTTCTGTTGGTATTCGGGTCGTAAATGCCCGAGCAGGCAGCGACAGGCGAAGAGAAGCGACGATCGAGTGGTCATGGTTGTTTTAATGCATAGTAAATGAGGTTTAAATAAGCTATAGGTATTCTTGCTGCGATCAATTCGATACCATGATACGTGATTATAATAAATCAAAATGTCTCTTGCATTCTTCACAACTTCTTTTGGGATAATTCTAGCTTACTAACTGAATTAAGCATCAAGTACCGTGAAGCTAATGTCTCAGTGCGTCTAACTCGAATCTTGTCACAGTAAGAAGGATACGACTCAGAACAGTTTAATGCTCTTATTGCTATTGCGTAACCGTGTAGCGAATAAAACACTTGAGTCATTTTTTATTACTCGTACATCAGCAAAGCGATGAAAGTGAAAACCAAATTTGGGCACTACGGACACGTCTGTTCGACGCCGTTTATTAACCTCTGCTCCGCAAAAATTATAAGACGGTCGACAGCACAAAATATTATATTTTTAGAGCTTTCATATTTCTATTAGCAGTTGCGAACCTGTTATACCCGATTACGCTTCACGTTGAAGATCAGGGAAATAAGTCAAGAATAAAAACAACTGCAGTAAAGTGCACCGATTTGAAATTATTATGCTATATCAGACCCTAAATAACTATACTATATTTCTGTCGCAAGCATAAGGTGTGCTGCAAAATAAGGACATTGATAATTTCTCATCACCAGCGAAAGTACAACTGTATTCAAATTGTTGCAATTTGCATTCTGTAGTACCTGGTAGTACTCGTAATCGCCAGCGAACATAGCTGTACTTGCTCCTGCATATCGGGAAGTGGGTACTCTCCTTTCCATAGGTGATACATACCTGCAAAGAAATGAAACTCAGTTAACAAAAATTCTGGATTAAATATAACTCTATTGATTAAAGAAATTTCTCAGAGAGGAGCTGAGTAGTTTTGTTGATAAGTTACGCTCAAGGTACAAGGTTGGGGTCAAATCTTAAAAATCCACAATATTGTAAACAATTAAATTTCAACAGGACTCTCAATTAGGCCACCGACCCATGCACAGGTCGCAAGTCAAAATATTCTAGATATATATATAATAGTCAAAATATTACACTTCGTTGAACGAAATGCTTGAAAACAACGTTATATCCATGATTATTTTGGAAGAGAACATTTAGAGTCCTAAATGGCGTTAAAAATCCAGTTAAACGGCAAACAGCGTGCTCAAAGGCAATATTAGAATTAGAGGGGAAGCAGGCTGCTAAATGCACATTAAAATTTACAAGTACAGTATAGATATAGTATGGGATAACGAATGAAACGAAATCTTTCTTCTGGTAGGCTGGTGATAATTGAAAAGGATTCTTCTATACCTAAAAGTATTGCATTAGCGATTGCTTACTTTAATTTTTCAATGATGTTCCTGTCTATCCTCTTCTTTGGCCTTGGCCGGTATTTAGAAATTCGTACATTGACTTGAAATTTAAATCATCTGCAATTTTCGCCAAACATGTCAGTCAATGGGACTTGATAGTTATTACTGGTAACGACATGTGACAATGCATGCTAAACTATCGCGCGTCAGGAAATAAATGTTACTTTATAAACCTATGGTGTGTGAAACATGTCAAATATATGCTTAGAATTACAGCCCCTGGAAGCGTATTTCCTAACATCAAAAACTCTCCGACAGCTCCCTAAAACTTCCCACCCTTTAATTTCTAAATGGTCGGGATCCTCTGAAACACCAAACAACGAAGTGATATCTATTTTTTCGTTTTTGACCATAGTAGTAACCCCTTGTAAAAAATTCATCCAAATCCGAGCAGAATTAATAGTTATAGACGGTCCAACGATTAGAGGACCACCGGTTCGACATACAGACCGACAGAAATGAGTGACATGTTTTTTTTTGTGATGTACAGGGTAGACAACTAAGAACTGTATCTGGGGACCTATCCATCGCAGATGCTTGCAGCAAATTAATAAATATTTGAATACCCCCACCACTTTATTTTTAAAGATACAGCGAACATTGTTAAACAAAAAAAGTTCATATTATCCTCGACTAGATCAGGTATCTTTGTGTTCGGTTAATATAGCGGAGTTCACAGAAACACTACTTTTTTAGATTCAACATTGCAGTTATGTCCTCTAGCGACCATTTCAGAAACTTTACAATATTTTCCAGGTTTTTCTCTTGGCCGTTTTTGCAGCAAACTTCTACGATGGATAGGCCCTCAGATTCAGTACCTCGCATTCTTAGCTGGCCACCCTGCACATGTCATATAACCTCAAAAAACAATATCTTATATTCAAAAACTTTAGCGATTAAAATACTTCCTCGTCAGAAAACCTGGGAAGTAACAGGTGAGAACAATCAGAAGGTTTCCCACTGGTGGCAGCAAGTGGTAATTTTTCATAAAACTTAGATTACTAAAGCACATAAAGCCTGAGTACCTGACATTCATTACGACTTGTTCTAATGGCGATATACTTTAATTAACTATGAATCAAAAGGTTGCCAGGCGGTAGTTCGGTGCAAATTTGTTTATAAAGTATGAAGATTCGCAATTACCGCCCGGCAATCCCTTGATTCGTATGAGGGGCATCACAAAGTAATTATGAAAAAAATGGAGTGGGAAAATAATTCCCGTGAATGCGATGCTTTGGCCTCAGCTGTATGATATGAAGTTGTACCTATCAGTGTACGGAAGTGCTAGGAAAAGGGGCAGAAGCCTAGCAAGTACATCTGGCAGCCTTAACGTTCGGCCGTATCATGGGAGAAACCTCAAAGAAGTAAAATCTGCAAGAATATCAGTAGACAAGTGACAAATCACAGAGTACACGCTTGTGTGACTGATGGTTGAAACTGTCTCATTTTACATAAAATAACATTTTCTTTTCGCTAACCAACATTTGCCTTATAACCTCATTTAAGAAGGATATTGTTTTTACTAAGTGAATATTATATTGTCGCCATATATGGTTTATAATTCAATTCATACCAGCTAAGTACCTCTGGCATAGTAACTGCATTATGTCATCAGGAAAGTACCAAGTACCACTGAGCCGTCGATGTATCAATGCAAAGAGGTCAGCCGCCGCTGTAAGACACGGTTTTGCAATATAGCATTTATTTATTGTTATTATTTAAGTAAACAAATTTTTAGGTGTGAGGCTGGAACGAACTGGAAAATCAATTACCTGCAGATGGTTCTTGAATATCGAAAGCTCAAAATGCGTAAGTAATTGCTTATATGTGAGAATCGCATGATTCCTACTGAAAACATTTTGCGCGTTTGACATCCACCATTAAGACTGTGTAGAATCTGCTTGCCTTCTATCTCTGAGATCAAACCAACCACATAAGAGTTTGTTTTATGCTTTTTAGAATCATCATTACGGTGTAGGCCTAGTCATTGGAGATAGACGGCGCACGGAGGACCAACAGAAGACTGAAAAGGTTTCCACACAGCAGATTTCAACCCCTTTTGCTGTTATGGTAGCTCAAGGGCAAAATTTACATCGGTGTTCCATGGAATATTGTAGACTTAAAATATTCGTCGCGAAGTAATCAAATCAAACTATACTTTTCAGCAAGGTATGTAAGATGTAAGAATATCTAGATGACCTAATATTCAAAAAATGTAATCTGCATTTCTGGAGATATATTTTCAATAAACTCATTTTACGTGAAATTTGCGGTATCTTTTAATATACTATTATTAATAATCTACAACTCGCGTGTTATAACCTCACCCTGGTCGCACCACTGAAAAGGTTCTTTAACATGCGTACACATACAGATGTAAGAAAACACCAGCATAAAAGCAAAGGCTCAAGTTTTTTTTAAAGAAATTAAATGTACCTCGAAACCTTTCCAGCAACTCTAATGTAATTGGAGATTTTATCTTAAATATATGATGCTTTTCACCCTTTTGGTTACAACAGAACAATATTAGACTGTACGCATTCGAATGTTTTAACATTTTCGGTTTCTCGTGATGATAATACATATCAACGACCTCCTCTCCTGTACGATCAATCCCTTCGTCAGCTTTACCGATGACAGCACTCTACACGCAGGCATTTAAAGTGACAAGTCGATCCCTGCTGATGAGCTAGAGTTAGAGACAGGAAGACTAGTAGGGACTTCCTCTACGACGACAGACCTGGAAGTTATTGCCGCTTGAGGACGCAAATATATGGTACAGTTTAATGCTTCCAAGAAGCGCTGTAGCGTTCATTATTTTTCGAAGGGTGGCCGAATTATGTCAAAGACGCTGATTGAAGTCCAAATCACTGAGCACTTGATTTGGTAGTAACACGTCTCGTCAAATGCAACAGCTGCCGGTAAAAAGATAGGTGTGCAGAGAAGGGCTGTTCGACTGTTAAATAACACTTCTCTAACTGACAGCATCGGCACCCTTTCGCATCAGCGGGCAGTCGATGATCTTGCTCTCTTCTACGGATATGTCAATAGACTTTGGCCTTTATAGCTCTCCTCAATGATGCCGCCGCGCGTTGAGCTTAAACAGTTCAAAAATCGGATTAATCGGTTTCTGCCTATGTGACTGCTTATTCATTCAAAAAGTGAACAAGGCCCAATATATGTTTAATCGTGGAGGACAGACAAACTCCAGTTTAAGACTGACTACTGTTTTGCCCTTTGACACCTATTAGTTTGAGTTTTAAATTCACTTCTTAAAATTATCAAGGAAATCAGCTTTATCCAATAAACTAAATAACTGATATGGTAAGTTTGTAATAAAAATTTACTTTTTTGCTACGTATAATTTTGAAAATATTTTAAGGGATCGGCACGGGCATTATGTATAAAACCCATAAAATGTCAAAGGAAACCTATAAAATGTCATCTTGCAGACTAGATAGTTTTTAGGGTGCAAACAGTCATTCCACGTTTGCTCACTAGGATCGTTGTGATCGTCCATCTATGGAGCAAAGGCTCAACTACACGCATTGTTGATTGCATATGTTTTCTGAAGTCTACAGTTTTCCTCTGAGAAGAAAGTTGCTGGATGATTGTGTCAATTGGTCTGCATGTGTATAAAATCAGTGATATTTGCTGCATGAGAAAATCATTACTGAATATGCTGCCAATGAAGTATATCTATTAGCTATGCCCGACAGGTTATTTATATGTTGTCCTTTCTGAAGGCAAGTTATGTTCAAAGTTATAAATTGCGATTTGTTATGTTTTTTTGTGTTTTCAAAAACTTTGAGAAGAATTACGGGAATTCACCACTGCGCCCTCGTTGTGTTTAATAACTGTTAGCATTTATATGACTTGTAATTCGACAGTGTACAGTGAATATTATTTGTTTCTTATCTCTCTCATTTTTGAAATTCAGCAAATTTGCATATATAATTTCCAGAATGGATAAAAAAAGTGGAACTGCAACTAATTTCTACCGTTGAATATCAAGTAAGTGTATTTGAGACAAAAATCTAATGGAATTATCATCAACACCTATTATTAGCACACATATCCTCACTATGCACTTATGCATTACCATTACCTCCAGTAATGCCACCTCTGAACCAGATTTTACATCACATCAGAGCCAAACATTAATAACTGAAGCCTCATGACGCTTAGGCAACCCGTACAACTACAAAACGAGTTCACAACGTGACCATCAGCTAGTACTAAGGTAACATCTTGTAGAAAAACCTACAAAATTTCACAAAAAACAATATAATGTCAAAAAAATCGACATAATGTCGTTTTTCAAGATGCTGTGACGAATAAATAGTACTGTTGGCGCCATCTGTTGGGAGACTTTCCTACTCGCCAAAGCTTCATGACCGATCGCTGCTTTTACGCGAACCACGACCGCACAAGACCTTACCAGTGACTCGCCTTCTAGATTGACGCGAAGTGGCTCGCCAGACCTTTCTCGGAGCAGCGAGGGGAACTATATATAATTCGATGGCCGGGAGATGGAAGCAGAGTACAGAGTACAGCAGAGTAGAGCAGAGTGGAGTATAGTCTAGTCAGTAGCGCGACATAAGAATAAATTAGTCAGTCACAAATAGTGGTGTACATAAATGTTCTATCTTCAAGATAAGTAAATTAGTGCATTTCTTTTTGTGCAATCCAGTGTTTTAATCCACACCCAAAAGAACCGAGAAAAATGCTACAATACGTAATACCCGGTCGGGTGTTCCATAAAGAGCTCTGTATGTAGATGTGTCGTTTTTGAATTTTCATTTCAACTGGATTTGGTTATGCATTGTAAGTTTAATTATCGATTAACGTATTCTATCAGAAGGTCGCCAGCTTAATACTATATCCCCAGGTCCAAAAGATTATAAAGATAAAATGAGATACCGTAGCGTACCGTACCTTATGAGAATTTGTCAGAGATTGATTCTCCTCTCCGCATGTTTACATAAAATGTTGCTCAATTTTGATTAAGTCATATCTCTTACAATTTTCGTTAGGAATGAATTATCGTTACCTTTCCATCCAGTTATAACATATTTTATTCGATATAACATTAAAGCCAAGATTATAACTTATAAGAAAGATATCAATGCAATTG